AGTGAACTCAGTAACTGCAGGCAGTTTGTGTAAAACTAGTGATTTGGATGAATTTGGAGTGGATTATTTCCTGTTTAGGGAACTTTTTATACAATTCTCTGTACAATCATACATATTTAATTGGCTTCTTTTTTAACAAATTCAGTGTTTTCTTACTTATTGTTCTTTAGACAGTTTACATTTCCTCACAGAAGTGAACCAAACAGAGAAATCAGCCTACTGTGTGTATTTTTTAAGTTTTCTTACACACCTTAAAATCAGAAAGACCTCGTGACCCCCCCCATGAAGCTTTGGCGACCCCTAGTGGGGGTTCCGACCCCCAGGTTGGGAACCACTGGAGTGAGGGGCTAAAATGCAGTCAAACTTTACCAGGATGGTGCAATAGTTAAGGTGTTTCCACGATTGGAAAAGAACATAAACGACTGTAAAGTATATAATAATTCTCACACATTGCATTTCCTGTGGCTGCTTCACAATAAAAGCCTGCTGCCATACACTAAAGTCCATTTTAAAGTAATTTTATTTTTGTAAGTTTTTAGTGAATTTAGGAGAAAATCATGAGATGACATCATTAAAGGGGCTCCAGTCAAAGCACAAACAACCTGTTTACTAGAGCTTTCAACCACATTTTACTGTTTTCATTGCGGAGAATGTGAGTTTCTCCATGACAACTGAGCAAACTCCAACCACCGACGAGGTAAAAAAGATACAAGTGGACCTTGAGGTAAGAGTGTTTTTGTCAGAGGGAATAAATTAATGAACAATCACTGAAAAAGAAGAAAAACTTTGCTTTGTGCTCGTTGTGTTCTGGAGGAGCTGAGTGTTTGTTGTAATGACCTCACACTCGAAATAATGTAAAAATATGATCAAGGATCTTTTATCATCGCTGATTGGAGCCTGAACACATTCCTGATGTGGCTCAAACCCTCGACAACAACAATAATTAATGAAATAAATCAAACCAAATCAAAACTTAAGATACAAAAAAAAAAATAATAAAAAAAAATAAGAATAGTAAAACCAAACGTTTGGATGTTGGTAGTCAAATGATCACAATGTATTAAAATGACGATGTGTTGGTAGTAATGAACTGACACAGAAATACACTCAACTAACTCAACTAAAACAATTTAGATGTATTAACTCAAACAATTTAAGCACATAAAATATTTGTACAATAAGTACAAAAGTATTTGTTGCACTGCACTAATTCCATTCAGTTAATAGAAGTTATTCTCATATGCAGCATTTCTACAAACTTGTTTAAAATGTGTGAAAAGAATTGATCTGAAAAAACTTAAATACATCTTCTTTGATTTAGTAATTATCAAAGTGGTAGCCAATTCATTTTCTGTGCACCATTTAATTGTTTCTGCTTAATGAAGTTGTTAGCAATAGCCTCCTTGTTTTCTATTCGTGTGATCTTTACACTTACTACTTACTTTCGTACTTGTTTTTAAGATGATTTATAAACTGATAAAAGCTTTATAGCATAGTGGAACTTACATTTTTATAATGATATAAACCTAAAGAAATGGAGTTGATGGAACAAACTAGAATTAAATCACCAGTCATTAAAATACTGCACAAATTTAGATTCACTTAAAAACAACGGAGTTACTTTAACTTCTTCAGATATGCTCCCGTCGGCTTTATGAAGCTTTATAGTGAGTTCAGGCTCGACTTTACTGTTTTGTTTTGCTCTCTTAGCGTCGCTTTCAGACCTGCTTAGGGTTGAAGATTTTATTTTTGTGCATTTTATTATGAGCTAAAGTATTTATCTTCTCGGTACACCTGTGACCTGAATAACACTGAAGACCAACTGTACGATATCTTTAACAGTGATTCCCTTTTCTATGATACATTTGTGTGTGAGAAACGTCCTCTGGTGCCCACGAAAGATTAGATAACATTCAGCTGTGATACTCCTTTTTCTCCCTTCCCGAGCTCAAGGCTGAGATGATTGTTAACGTGAATTCCCATGATTACAAAAAGTGAGTGTTTCTGCACCTCTGGGTCCGACCTCTGTCCTCTCAGCTGAGACTCTTTTATTATCCTGCTTCATTAAATAGACTAAAGACTGTTTGTTGTTCCACCGTTTATTCATTCATTTCTCCCACTCAAAGTAAATATAATGGACAGAGCTTCTGGGTCTGTGAAGTGAAGCCAATGTGTCTTAAACCTGCATTCTGTATAATGGCCAACAGGGGGCGGCTCCATTGGCTGCAAAAAAGAAGCCTGATAGTATTGAGTCTTATGGAAAAATGAGCCGACTTCTCACTTGATTTATGAGCTCAGTGAACAGTTTCCTGTTGTTGTTTCCTTTATGGTCTCAGTCTCTAGTTTAATACAGCATGATTTTCATTTAGTAAATTATGGTCACATTTAGAGTTTCTCAGTGGGAAAGACGCGCTGTTATAAAGCCGTCCCTGTGGGTTACTTCACATTTACTTTTCCTCACAGACGTAAACCAAAGGCTGAGATATTGGCCTACTGTGTATATATTTTAAGTTTTCTTAGCATGTCCCTCGCAAGCGCTCACGGATCTCTGTCTCCGCTTCACCTGGCGGAGGCAGCTGAGGGAGGAGCTACAGGAGGCAGGTCAGACGATTTTTTCTCAGTTCACTTTTACTGTACTTTCAATCAATTCACATTTGTCTCCAGAACAGAAGTGACAAAAACGTGCGTGTGTATTCCTGGAAACCTGCGATAAAAGCTGTGCGATGTTTGTCTTCAAATGACTCTGACAGAGCGGGTTGGAGGTCGAGCTCATTCATCGGCACTCCGCTCTCACCTCCACACACGCCGTGTCACATTTTTCGGCAATTTGATGGAGGTGAGAAAAGCAGGTTCTTTCTTTCTCTGACGAGAACACAATGTGTAGTTTAATCGCTCATTACTGTATGTCGCCTTTAGATTGTTTGGATTGAATCTATCCAGTGTGCGCCAGCCTCATGGGGGGGTTGCGGAGGACCTCTTGGTTTTAAAGTGTTGCA